CAGAACACGGCCACACAGCCCGGAAGACCCACACCAGCCATCTCTTCCTAGTTCCTTAAATTTACCTTCATGCTCCAGCAGCACATGAAATGGGATGGCTGAGTTTCTTATATACTGGCAATTTTTATAGTTGGTGCAAGGAGGGCTGGGAGATTATAATTTCTGGACCCACTTCTTGTTATTACTATTATTATAATTTCTATTACCAGAATGAAAGCAAAATAAGAAAAAAAATCAGTGGTGATGCAATGTGAAGAGGTTTGGGGAGGTTTTATCCACATTGCCCATTCCTGCCCCATTCCACAGTTTCTTCCCCTGTGTGGCTGCAGAGGTGGGGGAATCCAAAGGAAAACAGAGATGATGTTCCTAGAGAAGCATTGTTTTCATTGAATATCTCATCTTAATTTTGAGGGATTTAGGGGACACTTAATCTCTAATCAGTAGTTTGAATGATACAGCTGACTGCAATGAGTTAATTTAACCCCAACCTATCATGCATCTTTTTGAGGTTAAATTTAAGTCCCAGAATTTAAAATGATAGGATTCATCTGTTAATATGACATGCTAACTACTCCCCTTCACATGAGCAGTGAGTTGCATTATATGAATGTAGCCAATAAGTTGCTTTAGATTCCATCTTTACTTCTGCCCTCAGTCTTTATTCCATAAAGCATGGATGCACAACTAGATTTCATTTAAATCTAATTAAAATAAATTGAATTTAAATAATTTGAATTAAATAATTCAAAAGATGATGTTGAAGCTGCTTTGATCAAAATGGAAAGAATTGTTACAAAGAGAGGTAGAAAGATGCTTGGTAAAGTAATGAAGTGAAAGAGCCTATGGATGAGGAAAACAATGCAAATAAGAGAATGCTACAAAAATAAGGATGAGAGAAAGATATTGAACAATGTGTACATAGAGAAAAAAGTATTTGCAAAGGTATTTATAAGGACCATCTCTGGGCAAGTCAGGATTCATATACACTGAGGATATGAAGCCTGTTACATAAACCAGGCTTCCTCACCCTGAAGTTTTCCAGGTGTATTGAATTGCACCATTGGGAACTGCAGGAGTTGTATGGTTCCTATCTGGGTGACATTGCAATAAAAATGGCCTCTATTGATAGCATCCCTTTAGTTATTACACACACAACTCAGTTTTTGAAACTTGTACACCAATCCAGCTTTCTAATGGTGTTTAAGCTAGAAAAAACAGGATTTTGTTAGGGATTCAAATAATTTTGGATATTTTTTTCAGATTACCCCTTTATTGTGCCTGTTATAAATCCCATAGGATTTATGAAGTTAAATTATTGGATGAAAACTGTGGTCAGTTCCTGAGGCCTGATCATATGAGCAAAGAATATGACTCACAGTTAGTAATTTTCTTAGCCTAAGTTTAGGAAGCCTTCTGAAAATGTTTCCATGTGTGCACTAAAGTTTTCAGGCTATGGCCTCCTCTCCCATTTCTTCGTCTCTAGAAATTTAATATTTCATCCAGAGTTTTTGAGTTTGAAGCAGATGCTAAAGACTCTTGAAAGGGAGTCTACCTGAATCAAAACACATTTTATATCTTTCCTCTTTCAACTGATGGAATTTATTGTGCATACAACTCTATACTGAAGCAGCCTAGAGTATTTGCACAGTTTGGAGAATCACACTTTTAAAAGGCTATAGACAGTTTGGAACCAGCTCAGAAAAGGTTTAAGTATTGAAGAGTATGCCCAACTGCATAAGGAAGACCTGAAGGAACTGGACATATTTAGCTTGGAGAAGAGATGCTGGAGGAGGAATGCCTTTCACTTCCGTGTCATGTATTTCTGTTCTGCAGATATTGAACAGGACACCAGTAAAAACCCAGATATTAAACAGATTCTTCTACCTTAAAAAGCATGCAAATAATCAAAATGCCATTCACATGGTAAGTATTGGAATAAATTAAATTACTGCTAAGGAGGTATAAAATGCTTCTGAAACAGGAGTGTGCAGTCTTTTATGGGTTGATGGTTACACTTGGAGTGGCAGGCTGAAGGCCTGAGTCCTCAGAGAAGACAACTCCAGAATGAAGAAGCAAACAGGGCCAAGCTAAAATAATTGAATGTAAGTTAAATTTAAATTAAATATAGTTAATATGTGGTTATACCCCATGTAACTAATAATTTCCTTCTTTTGTCTGATTAAAAATTGTAATTTGGTGTCAACTTTTTGAGGGCTTTGAAAGCTGTATCCTGATCTTGGGAGGTGGGGATAGGATTATCCATGGAACTGGAGGCTCAGCTTGGATCACCCTTGCTGTAAGTCAACATGCCTATTATATTATATTAAAGAAATTATATTTCTTTAGTAATGAAAATAACCCTAAACCCGATTGTATTTCTCAGAAAATACCAACAATGCCCAGAATAGACTGAAGATTGATTTCTCACTTAAGATTTGAGGATAGACTTTATACCTCTCCTACTTTGGCCAAAGATTAAATGAAGTTTATTCAGATCATGATAGCTGTGCTACTCAGGAAATGTTGAGCTTCTTCAGGAACACTGTTTTACTGCAGTAGTTGTCCGTGTATGTTTTGTGAGGCTTCAGAGGATGGTGACCACCTTTGCTGAAAGGATGATGAACATATTTATCAACATCATCATCATCTTATATATTAACTGTTTTTCTAACTTTTATACAGCAATTTTAAAAAGCTAACCTCACAGCCTGACAGTCTAAAAGAAATAACGCAAACGAGAAAAAAGAATGAAGAAGAGGACAGCAGAGAAATTCAATAGCCAGTCATAGAAGTTAGATAACTTAGGCAGTCACATTTGCTCTAAACAGGAAATGGTTTCCCTGTCCCTTTATATAACTTTATCATTACTGTCTTGTGACAGAAATATGAACAGGAAATAAGTCTCTTCCACCTGCTATTGAGATTCAAGCCAGTGACTTGAAGAGTTTCACTATTTTTAATAAAATGAAACTGTTTTTGAGAAATGAAATGAGGCTCAGCTCCATTTCTGCCTTTCAGTCTTGCATTTTTTTAAAAGCAACACATAGGAACACTTATAATCGTTTAAGCTACCGAGTTCTTTTGGGATTGTTTTTCTGAGCCAGACTAGATTTAATGGGGATTATATATTTATGAACCTACCTGCCTGTTTCATATAGAAGAGCAGGGGTCACTTTTGAAGGGATGTGGGCTTCACTTTGGGGGAGTAAGTACAACAGCTTCAATATGAAGGCAAATTAGATTCTTCTTTTTTTTCCTGGATTTTCTCTTCCTTATATTTTGGCGTTTCCAACTCAGTTAAATTTATTTTGGGACTGTCTTTCTGACTGTTTCCTTCTCAGAGGATGGAAATTGGGCTGTTTATTGTACTAAGGCAAGAAGGAGTTTGGGCAGGTACATGCAATTTAAGATATTAGATTACCTATTACATATGTGGAAACAGAAGAAGCAAGAACAAAACATGGAAAACTTTTCACCCTTCCCAAAGTATTTATGGTATCAGAACCAGACTGGTGGCAACAAACAGCTTGGAGCAATCTTTCAACCTGCTGTCCTCCAAATGTGTGAGAATTACAATTCTTGGAAAGTGGGGAAGAAGTGCTTAAACTTGCTCCACATTCTTCTTGTCGTATCAAGAGAAGACACACCCTCTCATTTCTGTGTTTGGCTCTGAAGTAAGTTTTGCAAACCACAAATGTTCATGGGATTGTAACTGCTGCCTCCCCTCCTTTGCTTGGACCACAGTGTCCCAAATTTCAAAGGAGCATGGTCCCAGCCCATTGGTAAATCAGAGGTTTACAAAAAGCACTTAGGAAAAAGACTGCATTAATATTACTTCTTTGCTTGCAAGTGCCCGACGTTTGGTTTCCCTACTGAGTGCAGATGAAAGTGTTTCATGTTGAAACTTCAACTTCTTCCTTCTTTCAGGTGCTTGGAGTTATTTTAATAGCAGGGCCTTTTGTTTTATTAACACTTTACCTCCTGACATCTTATGCTGCAACTGCAAGGGATGAAACAATGGTTTTCAGCAATTATCTGTACACCAATGATATCCAAAATGTGAGAGACAAAATATCCAAGATGGGAAGCCATTCTAGATGTAATGATTCATGCAAGTAAGCCAACAATTAGTTTGGGGTGTCAATATTTTAAAATCTTAAATTGATAAGTGTGGTTGATATAGAAAGTAACATTGCTTTAGTTTATATTATTTTTAGAAAACTGTCAATTGAAATATACAGTAGATATTTCAATTATTTATTATATGTAATAAGTGACCTATAACAAATACCTCTTTGGATAATACATAGTAAAAATAAATAAAATCCAGTATTAAAATATTTTTATGATGGTAATCCTCAGTGGAATTAACTTTTCTGTATAATCACACTGTTCATTAGATGACTTGCAGCAACTAGATCATTCAAATCTAACTAATTAAATCCAAGAACTCATATATACATATTTAAAAATATATACTCATAGCATACACTGTCAATAAGCTCAACAGAAACTACAGGTTTCGACTTATGACCACAATTGGGACTGGAATTTCCATCACTAAGTGATGTGGTCGTAAAGCGAGACGTCATGTGACTGCATTGCTTAGCAGTGGCAATCCCAGCACTCCCCATTGCCAGTTGTTAGCCGAGGACCCACCCCAATCCAAGCCATTCCAGCCTTGGTCCCTCACAGCCCCAAGCCTCAGTAAGGTAAGGGACTGCCTCCAACTCTCCCCACCCACATATCTTCCCCCCATCTCTGCCTTTTTGGCTACCCTGCACCCTGCCTTGCAGGGTGGCAAGCAGCCCCAGAATCACACAGCTCTGGGGCTGCTTACCATGCCCTGGGAAGCTGCAGCTGCCCCAGCCCAGCCCCAGCTGTAGTCGCCCTTGCCAGCTGCACTCCGAAACCCCTGCTGCCCTGCGCTCACCACCCCAGCTGACCTTCGCCATCTTTTTGCTCCCGCTGCTGATGAGGTGTGCCCAGTCTGGCTGCTGGGTCAATCTGGGGCTGCGCTTTGTGCTGTGCTGTGGCATGCCAAAAAGCCCCTTTGTGCCGTGCTGCTGGGCCATGCTGGGACTGGGCTTTTGCACCAAGGGGCTTTTTGGTGCGCTGCGGCTCTGGGATTGCAAACAGCAGCCCCAGAGCTGCAACACAGCCCAAAGCCTAGCCCCAGCCCAGCCCAGCCCAGCAATGTGGCACAAAGTTGCAGCTGCCCCAACCCAGTCTTAGCTGCAGTCCCCATCCTGAGCTCCGAAGCCCTGCCACCTTGCACTCTGTCGCCCCAGCTGACCTTTGCCGTCTTCTTGCTCCTGCTGCTGATGAGGCGTGCCTGGTCTGGGTCTTCACGAGGCAGCTGCTGGCCATGTGAGGCCGTCTTCCCTAGGTCTCACAAGGAAGCCACCATGCGCAACCTTGGGAAGAAAGCCTCACATGGCCAGCAGCTGCCTTGTGAAGGGCCAGGCCATGCACACTTGTCAGCAGTGGGAGCCAGAAGACGGCAAAGGTCAGCTGGAGCGGCAGAGCGCAGGGTGACAGAGAGCCCAAAGGGCATAAATGGGGGGGGGGAGATAGGCAGGTGGGAGGAGTTGAAGCACCCCTGTGGTCGAGTGCGGGTGGGCTACCAAGCGCCTGAATTTTGTTCACATAACTGCAGGGGTGCTGCAATGGCTGTAACTTTGGGCACTGGTTATAAGTCCCTTCGTTCAGCACCGTTGTAACTTTGAATGTTCGCTGAATGAATGGTCATAAGACAAGGACTATCTGTAAAATATATTAGACACCAACAAAATGGAAATAAAAGTCAGCAATGACAAAGAATAGCCTGCTAGATGTTGCTGGACTGCAACTCCCATCATCTCTCATTATTGGCCATAGAGTTTTGGCTTTCAAGATGGAACTAGATTAACCAACTCTAACAGCCTCACATTAGACATACTTGGTTCATTTAGAGTTAAAAACAAACAAATTGAATGACATTATTCTATAGGCAGAAGGAAATGAGAAAATATATTAAATACTCTTCTCTAGAAACTAGAGCTCTTTACTCCTTGCTCTTCTGCTACTATTTCGAGTAGAAAATATTCAACTTTCCTTACCTCTCCAGTTTTCAACTTGTGGAAACTATTCCTTGGGATATGCCATATGACCCAAACAGCAATATTGCAAAATCTTTATATGAAGCATGGATGGAGCTCTTAAATATATCTCAAGAAAGCATTCATATGGCAACTTACTATTGGACTCTGACTGGAAAGGATCTTGGTATAAATGATACATCATCTAAACAGATGAGATAATACTCTCTTTTATTGCTTCCCAATTTAGCCAAAGCCTCCTGCTCCTAACATCATACTGAGCCTCTGCTGCCAAATTGCACATTGCACCCTCTTTGCAGGCTTCCGTAACCTTGTGTCTTCCTGAAGTGTTGGAATTACAACTCCTGGAATTAATTTAGCCATGGTGGCTGAGAGTTGTTGTCCTAAAATATCTGTTATAATGTAGAGGTTGGCATATTGCAAAACAGATCAGAAGTTACATCAGCAGAACAAATGACTGTCTTCCTGATGAGTTAGCTATTACATGTGAAACAACCTCTTGCCTTGTTTCACACAGAGATTACAAACTTGTCACTTGCAGTAATAGCATTATTGAACTATATAATTATGATTTTCTTCAAAGTTCTCCAAGTGATGAGAAGTTTCAAGATATAACTTCTTTTAAAGAAGATAAGATTTGGGATCTTCTGCTTTATGGTATTTTATTATATTTGTACTTTCTTACAAGTTGAGCGTATATAAATAAAAAATAATGAAATTATAGCTAAAATATCCAGCAAACAGCCAATTTCACTGTCCCACGTCAGATCCCCAGGGGGACAGATGATGCTCCAATATATTTTTCTATTTCACTTGGTTCATACATAATACATAGTTTATTGAATAAACCACAGCTGGATGGATTCATAAGAATGCTAAGCTTTACATCAGTGTTGTCCAAACTTGGCCACTTTAAGATGAGTGGACCAACTCCCAGAATTCCCCAGCCAGCATGGAGTTGAAGTCCACTCATCTTAAAGCAGCCAAGTTTGGACAACACTGCTTTACTTCCTAGTTTACAGAAGAGAATGACTGGGTTCATACAAAATAGGAAGCCAAAACTGAACAAACCACAAAATGGTTTAATGGCTTTAGCTTCTTTTAGTTTCACTGAGGTCTTTAACTCCATGGTACAGCATATGTTTTATAGGCAGAAGATCCCAAATCTAGCTCATGGTATCTCACTGGGAAAGGCTCCTATCTGAGAGCTGACACTAGTCAGTACTGACCTAGATGGACCAATCTATAAGGCATCTTTCCATATTAAAACATGGGATTGTTCTCTTTGTTTCCTTCCCATATACTTGGATTATCTTCTCCTTAGCTTAGGATGGGAGGAAGAGGAATAGAAACAGAAGATGATCTGCTTTTGATACGTTCCTTAAAATGTAAGGAATCAGATTGTTTAACCATTAGTTCCCCCCCCCCCAC